GGGGGGTGGAGGGGGGCTGGTAAATGGAAGAAGGACAGAAGAAGTGCCATGTGTTCAAAGCCCACTCGTTTTTTATGAGTCATAGATGCGTGATGTGACAAACATCACTCCGCCACAAACAGGCTTTGAACGTCAAGAATATGTCAACATCATCGGTATAACTTTGACTGTGACTTACAGGGGGGAGGGGGGGACACTGGCTGACCTGGCAGGAATATTGCCCCCCCCCAGCAGCAACTGAACTAACATGGAATTCATCATGACATCCATTGACAGAATTCCACAAACACTGGATCTGACCTGCAGCTACTGCATCTTCATGTAGTTTTTTTTTTTAAATTTCAACAGCAGGGGGCAGTCCTCTGTAAATAGGCTGGAGAATCAATAATTGATTAGAATTAAAAGAAAACAAAAGACTAAGAAACTAAGGTATTGATTAACCATACATTGTATTTGACAATCAGAGGAAGTGACGTCACGGCTTCAGTCTTTAGTCTATTTAATTTAAAGCAAGTCAATAACAATTTCAGGGGAGGACAAAAGGCTACAGCGGCATTATAGTTCACACAATGCTACTACACTGCCCCCAGGTGGAGAAACGCAAGAATTAAACATGAAAAAAAAGTGAGGAGAAAGAAATGATTTTTACCTGAGCAGTAAAAATCATCCACGTCACCGAGCGTTGACTACTCCGCCTCCTCCTCCTGTTGAAGGAGAACAAATAAATAAATACAGAAACGAGGTGAGAACAAATTCAGAACAAAAATCAACCTTAGTTCAAAGAAGACAAGTGCTGAAAAGAAAAGGGTTAAACTGGGGTCTACTGAGTGAATGTTGTGGTGGTGGGGGGGGGGGGGTGTTACTGTGTTATTGTCGTTTCCACTCCAACTCACTTCATTATTTTATTAATGTGTCTTCGTTCTAAATCTACCTGTGTTTCTTCCAATTCTTCTCCTTCAGCTTCTTCTTCTTCTCCCTTTGTCAAATTAAAAAGGTTAAAAAAAAAGAGGCTGGTGTGAAGTCAGGGACCAGATGACAGGAAGGTGAGAGGCCTTCACACGTTAGTGACGGGTGGGTTCAAAATGGAAAGGTCTAGAAAGACCAGCGACAGTTAGGGTGTGAGGGTCAGAACCCAGATGTTTCAGGAGGAGATGGAGTTTCAAAGAGGGCGGAGTCGTTAGAAAACGTTTGACCAGGGATTGTAACAAGAGTCTATGACAAAATAAAGTGGAAATAATAATGATAATAATAATAATAATAAACGTTTGACCAGGGATTGTAACGAGAGTCTATGACAAAATAAAATGGAAATAATAATAATAATAATAGGACACAGTCTTTTACATGGACCTGTTTCTTGTTCTTTTCTCAGGCATTAACACAGAGCAGGTGAATTGTGGGTGTTTTTACCTCCTGTTGTTCAGCCTGTTCTTCTTCTTCTCCTTCTTCTTCTTCTTCCTGTAGAGAATTTAATGAATGTCAGAGTTAGGATCACCACTTTAAACCCCCCCCTCCCCTCCAAACCCCCCACCTCTATATGAAAAAACTACCAGGTCCATGCAACACATTTAAAAAACCGATGGTGGAAAAAGAATTCAGAGGGAAAAAAACAAAGACCTAAAAATGAAACATTAAAACCACACCAGCAGTCACTGCCGTGTTCTTATAACTCCTGCAAGAAAAGGTTTCAAACAACAGTGAGAGGAGGAGCTGGGGGGAGTCAGGGGGAGTCGGGGGTGTGTGTGTGTTTCTACACAGAATTGGAAATGTATGAAGGCAAAGCGAAGCAAAGCAGTAAAACAAACCGAGCTCTGAGATAAGGCTGCAGCTGGAGTGAGGACCGTGTCCTTCACTGAGACACAACTGAACTGCTACAACAACAGGTCTGTAGAAACCGTCTGTGACTCTGACCACAGGCACCTGGTTCCTGGGATATTTACTGACCCCTGTGGTGATAACATGCTACTACATCAAGGGTGTGACGGCTCTCTGACTCAGTGCAGTTTGATGAGTGACAGATGACTGATTCAAAGTTGTAAACAAAGACACGTGGATCTACCTCGAGCTGCCGCAGCTCCTCTTCCTCCTAGAGGGAATAACAGACAGCAGGTCAGCGACTGTGTTGGGAGCAAAAGAGCGTCACTGTCACAGGGTCTGATCTACGACAGAAACTAAGAGGAAGAGCTGAGGTTGTCAGGAAACATCGACAGGACTGGGGAAGAAATGAGGAAGAGGATGTTAGCAGGAAGAGAGGACAGAGGACAGACGGATGGAGAGGGAGGTGAAGTCTAGAC